TCCCTGTTGAATTCCTCACGGCAGCCAGGTTGCTTGCCGGCCTGCCTTCCTGCGGTTGGTTTTGCTGCCACTTAGGATTTTGTGGCCACATTCTTTAATCAGGAGTATCGCCTTTTTTCTTATTACTTGACTTAGGCGCCACCCAACTCTGAACAACTTGCGACAGCTCACAATACAGTAAAAATGCAATATGAAGAGGAACGAGGTAACTAAAAGACAAACTAAAATAACTCGTCTGAGAATAAGCCTCAGGATGATGAAAATTTGACCACGAGGGTCCACGGGTTTTACTTCTCCTTTGCGAGAAGCTAATAATAATTGCTGTCTGGCTGCAGACAAGGAGGTGTTTCTGCCCAGCCCTCCCCTCCCCTCCCGCCAGTCCTCCCCCCTCCATGGCACTAGCAGAGCTTGTGGAATGCGCTGGCAAGACGGGGCTTTAGGGAAATGCTGCTGGCCAGAGACACTGGGAAGCCCACTTAAGCGCTGGCAAGCCAAGCTGGCACGCGAGAGAGGCCCGGCTGAGACGCCCCTGGAAGGAATGTGGGAGGCAGCAGTCAGCTATGCTGCCCCCTTTGAGCCCCAACCAGCAGCCTGGAGTGGGTGGGGCTCTTGGCGTGAACCGGTTGAACAACCACAACTGTCTTGCCCAAGGAGGGTGGGCTCTTTGTGACCCCACTGACCGTCCCACGGCCGCCTGATCTTGGAAGCCTAACCAGGAGGGAGCCATGCTTTGGGGAGGCTGGCAAGGGGAGAAGAGCTGGGCAGAAGACAGAAGGCTGAAGATCTTGGGGCTCTACAGGGGGGAGAGAGATGGTTCCTCCTCCCCCACAGAGACCCCCAAAGCCAAGAGGTGGCAACGCATGGAATAGATGGCTGCTTTATTCGCAGTGTAGGTCCTTCTCCTCTTGGCAGCAGGTGGGCATCTTTCTCGGCTCTGCCAAGCTGCATCTCTAGTGGGAGATGCTGGGCACCGACTGAGAACCTTTTGCAAACAGGTGGTCTGCAACTGAGCTATAGTTTCTCCTCGAACGAAGAAAACCTTCTCTACCAGCAGCTCCACTGGAGCTATTGAAGAAGATGGTGGCTTTTCAGGTGGTTGCAAATGGCACGGGATCAGTTTCTTTGCTCCCCTCTTCCAGCGCTTCTGGGGAAACAGGCTTTGCAGGTTTTGAAAACAAGGACCAGCGTTCTGCAAAATATCTTGATTAGCCACGGAGGCAATGGTGGGCTTGAAGGAGCAAGTCAAGAGCACGGGGCTTGGTTTCATACTGCTGCTTCCCACCTGCAGAAATTAAAATCCTTTGATTTTCTCATGGGATCCTTTTTCTGCTCAAAGTTGTCCCCCGCCCCCCCGCATCACTGCTTTTTCAGCCATAGGATGAAAGGTAGAGAAATGGGCTAATGTAGAGGATGAAAATATAATCAGATCTGCTGACTTCTGGGGTTGCTTTTGCTTCGTTCTAAGAAGGAATATAAGAAATGTGCAAAGGGTAATGTAAAGTTTGACATTAAGCCTAACCTTTTCAATGTGACGCCATTCCTATCAGGCTGAAATCAGATTGTTTAGGACTTTCTGAAGTTCTACAAAAAATTGGTTTTGCCATGACTTTGTGACCTGATTCACCTGTCATGCTAAGCCATTGCTTCTTCAACCATGGTTTATAGAATAAACCATAATATATGCTAAGCCATGACCCTTGTTTCTTATAGGCATTTCCCCTACAGATATTCTGGCTCCAACCTTGTACCATGGTTACTATATCAGGCCTCGGATTAACAAACAGTTGGAACGAGGGATTTCAGAGGTCACCCTCAATGAACACAAATTCCAGGTGTTCCTTGATGTCTGCCATTTCACCCCCGACGAAATTGCTGTCCGCACTGTGGACAACCTCCTGGAGGTGACGGCACAGCATCCTCAGAAGGTTGACCGACATGGATTCATCTCCCGCGAATTCACCCGGACCTACATCCTCCCCTCGGATGCCGATCCCTTGTTGGTCAAAGCCACTGTGACCCATGATGGCATCCTGAGCATTGAAGTCCGGCGGACAGGGAAGGAAGTGAGGGCCAAAGTCAATGAGGTGAAAGTAACATGCCAAGAACCACCTGAAAGGAAAGGAGAAAGTTCAGGGGAGACATCGGATCCCTAAAACATCCTTCTAGTATGGCACAATTTGGCCAGAGTGAATAGGTGAATCTGAAAAGGGTCTTTCATGACCACCAAAGGCCATGTCTGGTTAATCTAATTGGCCTCATCTTCTCTTCCCCAGACATATAGGGTTTTTATTTCAAGAAGCCTTCTCCCACAGGACCCTCAGAACTGCAGCTTATTGGAATGCCACGGATGATCTTTTCAGATATCTCCTAACCTTCTTTCATCAAGATATAACTGAAGACAGTAAAGGCTATTGCACCAGTTTGAAGCCTGTGATATGGGTAAACCCAATTCTTTTTTTCATTTTAAATTAAAATGCTATAATTCCTACCATTTTTCAGCCAGCCTGGTAGGCTGATGGGAGCTGTGGTCCAACCCATTTGGAAGATCAATAGGTTGGGGAAGGCAGCGCTCAAAATATGGCTGGCATTGGACAGTCACCAATGGTTCAATCCTGTTTTCTTCACCAGAGCTAGCTGCCCTTTTGAGGTCGGCTTAGTTTGACAACCCATCATAATTCCTACTATTTTCAAAGTGATCAACCATTATTATTTCAGAATACTATAAATCTATTTACTGCCCTTTCTTTTGTTCCTGACTGCTTTTACTCATCTGTTGATGATGAAATGAGACTTTAAAATTAAAAAAAAAAATTAAAGCGAGGAACCTGTTTTCAGAACTATTGATGAATCGTATCTTGGGACAGGAAAGAAAGTAATTAAATGCAAACAGTTAAACGCAAAAAACCCACATCAACCTAACCATAAGCTAGTTGTCCAAACTTTTCATCCAAGCCTTTCCCTTTGTATGATTACTGGCACTGAGCAATTTTTTTCTGCCTCTTTTAATAGTAAAGTTGGAGTAACTGCATTTACGCAACTTGATTATGGTTATCGAATCCGCTGAATCATAAGCCGTACAAATTAGATTTGGACAGCCCACCAGGTTAAAATGTGGCTAGCCAGTTCGCAGCTCCCAGTTTCAGGTGAACACAGTCAGTCTCTGGGTTCATAGAGAAGTTTTAAGAAAGTAATTGTGGAAATTGTGTTCTTGTGAGCTCAAGTGCCTTGGGCTTGCCGACACTGTGCCTCGGTATCCTCAACTGTGATCTGGGTTTTTCTCTGTGTTGAGCCAACTGCGACCACAGACCCAAATGTTTGAATGGCTTGGTGCCGATGCTCAAGGGAATTCAAGAGCCACCACAGTATTTCTGCAGGGTTTCCAACCTTTTCTTTCCCAGCTCCAATGGGGTGAAAGCATTCTTTAGCACTGGAAGGCCCATCCAACTCACAGATGTTTGTGTTTTAGTGCTGTGAGAAACACCCAGCCATAAAACCACAACTGAAAAGAAAGCACATGTGGGTTGCATCCACTGACCCACATCATTTGGAAGGCTCATGAAATAACAACTTAGGCTGTGTGAAACATGTCCGCAGCGCTGCATTCTAATTATTTTTGTGTTTTTTAAACACGTTTTTAAAGCAAGCTTGTCTGTTTTTTGGACTTTCTGGATAGGGGGTTAAGCACAACCCCTACTGGAGTTCAAGTGGGCCTCTGATTGTGGGAGCATCTTCAGAAGAACTTTTCCTGGAGATCTGAATGGCTGGCAGGTTGAAAGCTGGAAGACCCTCAAGTTGTTTCCATAAGTTTATAAATTACTAGGATCACCCTCATCCCATTTTATTCCAAGAGCAATATGCCCGCAGGCTCCCCGTCCCACATTGGCCCTCACAAAACCTTGGCAGGGAGAATTTGGGGAAACATGGCGATTGGATTGCCAGGCAGTGAATTATGTGGGCCAAGTGAAGATTTAAACCCTGGTCTCCCAGTTAAAATTCAACATGTTATTCATAATAACGGCATTTAGGATAGTGCCACAGATTTGCACTGCTAGTTGATCTATTCACCTGTTGCGGAAGTTGGACTTTGCTACCCCTGAACTCCCAAAACTTTCTTGACCCCGGAAATCCTTATGAACTTCCCTGGCTGGACATGGCCCCCTCTCCAGCATGATTGCTGACCTCTCTTCTCCCACCTGGACCTTTTCCTGCCCCCCACCCCCAAGCTCAGGACTTACCTCTGAATGCCCACACAGGCTGGATTTTGTCAGGAAAGCAGAAAAGGCGCCCAAAGGCACTCTTAAGCCCAGGCCCCTTTTGTGCCCACAGATGTGTTACGAAAAGGGAATGTGAACAGGCAGCCAAGACTGGCTTGGCAGGGAGGGACAGGCTGTTGGGAGCGCCTTTCTCTTTCTGCAGTCAAGCTGAAAGGCGACTGCAGCCACGCAGGTCCAGAGTGGGCCCGAGAGGAGCGGGCTTGCAAAACCCGGTGTTGGTTTGCGTTTTCGAGTCTGGGCCCAGCTGTCCAAAACACACGGAGATGCCCGGCAGCCAAGGCCACTTCTGGGCCTACATTCATGGCTTGTGAAAGGGGTGTCGGGAGCCGATGTCCCATTCCTGTGCGGCTTGCATGGTGGTTCTGTGGTGCCAGTCAGAGCAGGAAGGTCTGTGTCGGTTTGTGCCAGGAGAAGCAGCCACGTCTCCTGTTGCAGCTTAAGATCTTCCATTTGATGGAAGCATTTATGCATGTCTCCTCTGAGGCTTCTGCCATCCTTTGTTCACCTGGCAGCTGCCAGAATCCTCTTTCTTCCTGTTAGCAAAGGATTATCCTCTTTAAAAAAAAACCTGGCAGGTGCTCTGTCTCCTTCCACATCCTCCATCTCCTGCCGCCTCGTCAAGAGCCAAATTATGGCGCTGTGATGAAGGACAGGCTGAGCGCCTGCTTTCTGGGCGTCCTTTCCAAACTGTCTAGGTCTAGGTTCGGGCTCAAGTGGAAGGGGCCACCTGTTAGTTTTCTTGGAACAGCCCCCCCCCTTAACAGCTGCACACAGTGCAGCGAGCCGCAATCCAGCTGGGTTTGCTCTCCCTCTGCAAAGCACAAACTTGATTGCTGACCGCCCTACTTTTTTCCTTTCCCTCATGATCAGGGGATTAAAAACAAAAGACGAGGAAGAGAGCTTGGAGGAATTGGGCACGTTGGCCTTGAGAAAGTGACTGGGGGGGATAGATGGGTAGGAGAGGATAGGGATCTTCATGGACCCGAAATGGGGTTGCTGCTCCCCTTCTTGCGGTCATGGAAGGGGCTCGGTTGCAGGAAGGCGATTCTGATGGGGAAATTCCCAGCAAGGGGAGCCACTCAGCTGTGGAGAAGACACTTGTCAGGTAACCTCACCTGCTAAGCCACACTTTGCTTTAGCCCTGGTGTGCACTGTGCAGGGGTTGGGCTAGGTGGCCTCAAGAGCCCTTTCTCACTTTAAGATTCATCCAGGCCACAAGTCAAGCATGTGAACTGACCCCAAAACTCTGGCCCCACTTAAAGGACCTCTTTGTATTGGGGAATAAAAGTTTGCCCGTCCAAACTTTTGGGTATGGCTTCTTCCTTGGGAGCGTGTCATCAGCAGGGGTGTCTGTACGTGGTCAAAAAAGTCAAAATGGCAGTCACAGCTGGAACTTCGATGGCAGCGTTGTGCCCACCAGCACGCCTTTTCTAACCCATCCTGTGGACACCCCGGTGCCACGTTTCTCACCCATCCTGGCCATGGCCGGGACAGCCCCGCGTCGCCAGTCCCCAAATCAGCCCTCCCAGCTGGCACTTTCCGGACCGACAAGGCCTCCCCGCCCAGCGGCCGAAAGGTTGCGGATGATGGGAATGAAAGCCCCGCGCGTCCAGGGGGAGCAGGTTGGGGTCGTCGCCGAGGGTGGCCCGCTTCGAGGCGCGCAAGCAGCCGGATCGCGCGAACGCGCAGCCCGCGGGGC